TTTCCCCAATTTTTTTTTTTTTTTTTTTTTTTTCGTTCCTGGAGTATCCACTGAAATGTCTAATGTAATATAAAAAAGAAAAAATGATTAATGTTACTAATCCATATAATTGGTAAGTTTATCATGAATGTTTTAATTTTTATACATTGTTAATATTTGCTTTAATTGCAAATGACCACTGTTGCATGAGTATCAAATGATTTAATACATGTTTTAATTTGGGTTTATTGAGATAAATTTGAGATGTTTTTATCTTTATTCAACAATTTTGAACGACTGATTGCGTGAATGTGGCAAATCTCAGGCTACAAATTGGCATATATATAACACTATGAAAAAAAATTTACAAATTTTTTTTTTAGGTGTAACTAGTATGTTATTATCTAATTATTAATAACTAGGTGCGATGTATGGATAATTGATTTAATATATATTTTATATAATAATAAATATATTTTAAAAAATAAATTATTTTTATTGGTTACATATTTTAAAGTATATTCTAATTTATATTTTAAAATTATTATCTTTATTTTATAAGAATAGAAAATTTTGTTTATATAATATTCATAAATTAATATATGCAATATATTAATAATAATATTATCTTTTACACCAAACCTTTTATAAGAAATATTCTATTATAAGATTACATAAAATTGATTCATGTACATACTCTATCAATATGTGTTAATTTCTACATCACAACATGTAATATTAATTTTATATTTTATTTTTTATACTCTATCTTGCAATAATAAAAAATACCGTTTTGATGTTTAATATTATTAAATTATAAAATTATATTACAGAAATAAATATTATTTAATATATCATTTTCCCACTAATAATAAGATTAAATTTTTATGTTAAAAATTACAAATATTTATGGTGATTATTTAATACATTCAAATTCAACTATTAAATTATAATTATTAAATTTTTTATGAATATGATTTTGATTATACATGCTGAATATGATTTTTTTATGAATCCAATTATTAAATTATAATTATTTATTACGACCATTGTATTTTATCAAAATTTATCAAAGCTTAAAAATTATAAATATATAACTAAACAAATATCAAAAGTCACTAGTTTAAGTTTATTAATTATAAACTAATTAAAAGTTTATTTTCGTGTTAGTCATAAAGTTACGATTGAAAATATCACTTTACTCATTCAATTCATTTGAATTTTTGAAATGAGTTATATTTTTTTATCAAATAAAAAATAATAATTAAATAATTTTTATTGTTAAATATTTTAAAAGAATATATTATCAATTTGTATATATATTAATGAATTGATAAATTTCATAAATTAATATATAACTCTGTATACATTATTAGTATCATAAAAACTTTCAATTCATCAATGGACTTTTATATTAAATTTATTCTGTAAATCATTATTGATATCGTACTTTTTCTAGTGTAACTTTAGAGTAACTTGTAACAATATATAATTTGATCTCTTAAACCAACTAAAATTGAACTAGACAAAATATAATAAATGCTTAAAATTAATTAGATAAAAAAAATTCTCTCTTATTAGGATTAGAAAAAATAAATAGACATATAGACATATTTTTCTTCTAAATATTAATTAACTGATTAGAAAATGATTAATTGGAGAGAGAATGTTAATTTTGAAAAAGTAGTT